TAGTTATGCTTGAGACTATGAGACCTTTGTGTTATGGTACAATTCCACATGAGCTTCCAGGGGCGGCAGCAACAACAAGGAAGGGCACCCGAGCAGTCCTTGAGAGTCTTGTAAACATGGTGTCCCTGCCACACAGATTTGGTAGTGTATGGTGTTGTGACTCCACACAGATTGCTGCTGTCATGTCAAGTTTCTTGCAAGTTCCTTTGGATTTTTCTCAGGTTTGGAATGACCTTTTATCATGTTCACATTTTTCAACTTTCTTCCTTGAATGGATGAGACCTAGCCTGTTTAATCACGCTTCATATGGAGACACTGCCTGATGTCCCAGTTCACTTGTGCTATATTCTGTTCCCATACAGGAAGATTGATTTCAGTGAGATTAATATTGCCTTGCATTGTATATGATTACTCTATTTAAGTCCCACTGCAGAAAATAGGAAGTGGAGAAATGCATCCTATATATTTGTACATAAATTTATTGTTTCCATCCTTATTTCTAGCCTACAATTATACGTTAGAGATTGGATGGATTTCTGATATATCTTACTAGAAGCCAGCTCTGCCTTCTTAGAATTTTATTACATCTTCCAGTCATTGCTCTGCCAGAATAACGGCAGCTAAATCCTAGAACATGTTGGGGCTTTTGGAGTTATTGTATCATGAAATGTCAGCACATATAGTTTCAAAATACCATGTGTACAATTAAACAGACAGTACCATTAGTTCTGATAGACTTCACAACCAGCATCTCACATGGCACTCTGAAAATGTGTAGAAATTCTGAAGTTTAGTATTAAAACCAATTTGATGGCCAGAAATGTAAGCATTAAATTAGAAAGGTGTTTTGTCCAATCTTTTTTTTTTTTCTGATTTCTAAATGAGTGGCTAAACTGAGGTACCCAGTGACATTTTAGATTCCCTTGAGTGTCTAAGACATCTACAAGGAGCTGACAGGTATGACATACAACATATGGGAGACCTAAGCCCTTCTGCAGTGGCAGCTGTATGCCAGATAGGATACCGTAGGCATTTTAAGTGGCACTGGATGCCTACATGGGAAGAAATATCCTGTCCCTTAAATCCTGTATTTTTCCATCAATTCATTTGCCATTAGCTGTGATTCAGAGGTGTTAGAACAGAGAGTAATTAGCTGAGAATTATTTTTTGTCCTTCAAAGGTAAGAGATAGTTCAGATACATTATCTGTGGAAGTCTGACAGACACCTGATTTAATTCAGCCTTTGAAAGTGACACTGCTATCAGCAAAGCTGAAAGGATATATATGGTCAGCCATGCTAAAGGTGTGAACTCTAGTTACTTGGGACTACTCAGTATGCATATTACAGACAGGATAATCAAGGTGGACTAATAGAACTTTCTGAGGAGGAGAGAGAAGAAATGTGATTACTTTGCCATAAGGGTATTGTGGTAAGAAGACTCCAAGGTTAGCCTGTGCCAATAGAAGTGTTTTAATGATCTTAATGTAGAAGTTATACAAATAGTTATTTAGCCAACTAAAATGTTGTTGGGAGAACACATAGTTAACAAAAAGTTTAAAAACTAAATTACCTAGTTATGTAAAACAACATGTTTGATTGGTTAATTCTTTGGAGTGTCTTTCCCTGCACAATACCTTTAGCAGCTATTCAGTGGAAAAGAATAACCATCTGTTTAGTATTTTTTTGCTTGTTGGTGTTCCTTTGACTGTATTAATCATTAATTTTATGCCTTATTTGTTTGTTTTTTTTTCTGCCCCAGTAGTACAAACCTGCAGCAATAACTTTCAGGAAGGTATCCAGGTAAGAAAAAGCAATTTTCCCTGGCTTTATATCCAAATATTACCCATTCAAAGGGAACTTCAGTTTGGTAAAATGAACACTAATTTAAAAATTGGGCAGTTTTCAAATATAAGACAGGGCTCATCTATCTAACTTAATCTTGCAATCTCTTTTGGTAATATTTTCTAGTTATGATTCAAGTATATTTATCATTATACTATTTAGATAGCTATTGAGCTGTTAAATAAGATACTGACCTAGAGGCTGTGAAAGTCAGTAAAGTCTCTCATGTTACTTCAGTAGGCAGTATATCACACTATGATTTACTCATCACCAAGCCAGGATATTACCTGTTGTCTGATCTATTGAATATGACAGGGTTTTGACAGCAATGATGAGTGGAAACATATTGGTTTTCCTCTTATTTTTATTCCCTTTATTTACAAGGGTGGTGTTTGACAGCCAGCTGAATATGAGCCAGCAGTGTGCCCAGGTGGCCAAGAAGGCCAAGATCACCCTGGCTTGTATCAGCAATAGCATGGCTGGCAGGGCTAGGGAGCACTGGTGAATCCACACCTCGAATACTGTGCTCAGTTCTGGGCCCCACACGATAAAAAAGACATTGAGGTGCTGGTGTGTGTTCAGAGAAGGGCAATGAAACTGGTGAAGGGTTTAAAGCACAAGTCTTACGAGGAGCACCTGAGGGAACTGGGGTTGTTTAGCTGGAGAAAAAGAATCTGAGGGGGGGATCTTATCGCTCTCTCCAACTACCCAAAAGGAGGTTGCAGCAAGGTGGGGGTTGGCCTCTTCTCCCAAGTAACAAGTGATAGGACAAGAGGAAATGGCCTCAAGTTGTGCCAGGGAAGGTTCAGACTGGATATTAGGAAACATTTCTTCACCAGAAGTGTTGTCAAGCACTGGAACAGGCAGCCTGGTAAAGTGGTGGAGTCACCATCCTTGGAGGTACATAAAAGGTGTGTAGATGTGACACTGGGATACGGTTTAGTGCTGGACTTGGCAGTGCTAGGTTAACTGCTGGACTTCATGATCTTAAGGGTCTTTTCCAACCTAAACTATTCTAAGATTCTACTTATGGGTTGACTCTCCACCAGTTACCAGACCTTAAATTTGGCTGTATAAGATTGAGCTTCAGTAACTGTTTTTCAAGAGTATATGGACACTCCATGACAAGTGTAAAAAGCACTGGAATTAAGAGGTTTTTAAAGAGAAATTGCTAGGTAATATCTGTTTGATTATGACAAATCCATTAAGCTGTCATAATAGAGCATAATGACTCTGTAAATAAGAAAAACTTTTCTAGGGGTCTTAACTCTTTCCAGAATTCTCAATTTTTTCAAACAGCACTACAAAGATTTTCCATATCCTGAATCTGTGAATTCATTAAGTGTTTCAGATTGGTAGAGAGTCAGCTTTTTTTATATTACTTTTTCGAGCTGTTTATCAAAATTCAAGTCAGAGTAAATCTTCCTCTACAGCAATTTCATTATTTCATTTTTTTCTTGCAAACTCACAGTCTCCTGCTGCAATTTGAAATGAAGCATGAGGATTGCTGGAGTTTTCACATCTCTTTTACTGAAACAGCTGCTACCAGAACAGGTTGTAGCTCTGAATCATTTTATCTACAGCACTAATGGCATTAGCTACAGCCTTACAGGTCACAAGTCAGTACCTTCCGTGATTTCTGTAAAACCACTAGACAGTAATGATACTGAAATAAGGGAGTTACTAAAGTGAGTAAGTAGCTTCAAAACCATCACAGCTCTATCAGAGATGGAGATAATTTTATAAGCTCTACAGGTCACAGCTTGATTTTCCAAGTACCAAATGGACTGCATCTGTCATTACTGAGAACAGAAACTGTGTTTTACAGAACAGCTGACAACTTCCTGCCTAAGCAATGGAAGAATTAAGTTGCAGGGATGTCCAGATACTATATAAAAAGACCAACTGTATGTAGTTATAGATCATAAAATTGCTCCTACAGACAACTTTGGAAACAGGATCATTTAAAACACTGCATTCTTCATGACAGTCATCTATGGTATTTGAAACACAAACTAGGCACAATAAGAAAAATTAATGGTAGAAGTCATGGGTAATACTGGTCACCACATCTGTAATTCAAACATTTTCAAAATAGTTCATTATTTCATATCATTTCTTTTGGAAATATATTTAACTGTCATCAGGTTTTAATATGTGCCAGTATTTAACATTTTGTATTTCTCAAGGGTTTAAAAAATCTAAGTTAGTAGGGCTCCCAGAGGGCAATTTATAAAGAAGTGGAGTAGGAATGGTGGTAAAGACTGCTTACAAGTTGTCTTCTGTCACCAAAGGCTAATTTCTCAAAGTTTACTGTGCATGTCTTGCACAGTGCTCTGCTAGACTCCTTTCTGTCCCTAGAATATTGAGTCCATTGTAACCTATTTCATGGCCAGAAATTCAAGCAAGTATACTAGAGAGACTAAATGTTTTTCTGTGTGTGTTTAAACAATTATCAGATATACAGTAATTTGCTTCCATATATTTCCTCACTCTTTTTCTGAAAGGACTTTTAGTGACACCATGAGAAGGCTCGGGTCTCTTTCCATTTAATCTTTTCCCTCTATGTTTCATTTACTTTCAAAAATGAGTGGGCAAGGCCAGCTTCTCGGGCTTTCTAAAAGCCAGTTAGGACCTGAACTTTAAAACTTTAAGCTTTTCTAATTCAGTTTAGCAGTTATTTTGTCTCATTGCTATTTGAAGAGTAGGCAATGAATCTTATCTGTTGAATAATGAATGTGCACTAATGGAACAAAAGTTTTAACAGTTCACTCACAGTTAATGGCAGAGCAAGCACCAGGAGAGGAATCCACATGTCAAGATGCAATATTGAAAGAATACATTATCATTACAGATGATAATATTAAAATATAGATTATTATCAAACATCCTATCCAAGTTAAGTGTCTCATAACTTTACTGTGGCTGAGATCATAACCATTCTAATCACAGCAGAGGAGTAGTTACCTGCAATTTGTAAGGGTGAAACAGTTTCACCAGCAAGCAATTATAGGAGATATCTCAGGACGGAGAGGCTGTTGATACATGGCACTGCTATTTTTTGCCATAGGCTATGTCTAACCTGAAGGAATAGGCTACCATTTCTGGGTTCAGGTACTTGTTTCAGCTGAATAATGATTCCCTTGCTCCATTTTCAGACAGGATGAACAAGACAGCTAAGGAGCAGGACCATAGTGAATACTGAGAATTTTCATGTCCTTACAGACCTCCTTCCTTGAGTCATTTTTTTCAAACAACTTTATCTCACACAAAAGGATTCTGCAGGTAGAACATATACAACCTTAATGCAAACAGGAATGATTACCAAATGTGAACAAAAGACAGCTGAGTTTTAATGAGCAACTAGGCTAAGCATTAGTATGCTCTCTGCTTCCAATAGGGCTCCCAGGGGCTTCTGCTGGTCAGGCAGGTATCAGTCAGGAGCATGGTCAGGCTCCACTTGCCCCAGAAAAAAAATCCTTGATGCTGCTGGGTTGCCATCTTCCACTACCTCTGTGTTCTCTCCTTTAGCATTCTGTACCTCCACATTCTAGTATTTCTACTCTTATTCTTGAGCTACTCATAATCTTTTTCTTACCAAACCTAGCTCTTTGACATTTTACTTTTCTTATGGTTCTGCAGAGAGTACTACAGTTTCCTCATGCCTTAACAATTTCCTTAGAAGTCCAAGCAAAAGTTACACATCTGGGCTCCCTCAGTGTGAGAGCCATGGGTCCTTAGCACATACCAGGGTGAGTATTGTGGAGAGTATTGCACAGAGTAGGTTACACCCTACAGCACAGATACAATCCCTGAAACCAATCATATCTTTAGCTTAATTTTTAAAAGACTCAGAATTTCACCTGTGGAACAGAGAAATGCATCACCAGATCTTTATTGTCACTCTTGACCAAAGACCTTAATAGGAATAAGTATGGGAGATAAAAGACAAAACACTTAAGCACACTGTAAGCCCACAATATACCTTTCTAACCTTGGATAGTGATACATTCTGAGAAATTTTTACTTCAAATCATATTTTTAATATCCAAAATATATCTTCACTTCAGAATGCTTTCTTTTCAGTTGCACATTTAAACCTCTGTTTCTTTCATATATTTTGCTGTAGCTACTGAAGATTATTTTCTGAAAAGATTAGCAAAAGTTATTGTAATCTCTATGACTCAGTGCATGGAACAGAAGAAAGAACATGCAAATTTAGGGGCGGGAAAGACCTAAAAGAAATTACAATGTAATTCTTTTCTTCTGTATTACTTAGCAGTAATGCACTGTCAGTTCGCAGGCTAGATCAGTTCCTTCATTTTTAACATATTGAGTAGTTTACTAAATAGATTATGTATGAAGACATCTAGAGTACTGAGATATTTGTGATGGTTTATGAAAACTGCAACCTCTATCTTCATAGGTTATCATCCAGAAAATTCAATCAGAAATGCAAGTCACTGTGTTCCTTGGCAAAATATGTGCTGTGTTTCTACACAGCTAAGTACACAGTGGAAACAACAGGGTGATGATCCAGCAACACTGACTGTGCAGGTAGAGCTAGTACAAACAGAAGTTTTTTTACCTGGAAAACTCTTCTCCCTAACTTCTTATAGCTTGCTCCCCTGGGCTCCCTTCCCTGCCCATCTATAGCACTGAATTTGTAAGAGTTATCCAAGCATACAAGCCACAGCAGGATTCATTGTCTGTATTACCATCTTTCATGGCTTGTCTTTATACATATGAAAATATTATGTATGCTTTGTGACAAGACTTGAACCTGCAATATACTGGGTGGTAGAAGGGAGGAATTGAGGTTCTTGGATTTTTTAACCTTTTTAAAACATTGAAGTATCAGAACCTCTGCTATGTTCTGAAGTGTGAAAGAAGAACACCTTATGTTGTACAGTGCCCAGTTCAAGCATTTTATGAGTAATGTCCTTTTCCTTCAGTGTTAGGTCATGAAACATATTTTACCATGAATTTTTAATTTGCAAGGTTTGGTTGATCTGCTTGCTGCAAACCGTGCAGCACTGAAAAGACACCAGAAAGGACTGAGGCAGGGGGGGAGAGCTTTATTCCTCCTTCTTTCTAAGCTGCAAACAATGCTACTGGTTCTGTAAAAATCCTCATGGGGACACTGTATTGTCCTGCTCTCCATAAATGAGATTATCTTCTTTCACCTACTCTTTCTCAAGGAAATACTTTTTTCTGGTGTTCAGTGAGAACATGCAATTTTTTCTTCTTTCACTGCGATTAATTTTTTCCATAACCTTTTTCCTACCCTGCATCCTGCCTATGCTGTCATCCAGAGAACTCAACACTATGACACACATGACCTCCTCAGAACAAAGATCTGAGGCTGAACCTTGCGGCATGCAGGGAAACTGTTTGTAAGCTCTCTCTAACTTTATGTAAAAGCAATGAAGCTTAGTCAGGAAGAGGTGATATCTGTTGTCTTTACCAGAGCAAAGAAAAAGAAACTTCCTAAAATAGTGAAATTTTCATCACAAATGATGTGATATTTGACATCCCTAATAGACAAAGAAATACCTGAGATAAGATCAGCAAGGTCTTGAAAAGAAATGCAGGCAGCTATCCTACCAATTCTCTCACACATATTTGATAATACTTGAGATTTGATAATATTTCTGTCTCCTGTCAAATGCTTAAGTCTCTGGAGTCTAAGGGGGGAGAAAAAAAATGTTCATTTACTAAATGGCTGTGAAACAGTGCAGAGCATCTCTGATCTAAATAATATAATCAGATTCATGTGTTTATAAAGATATATTATTATGTAGCTGCTGGGGTGTTTTCACAATGATTTGCAATAGAGAAGAGGTTATTTTTATGCCCCATCTTTTAAAAAGTCCGGAAGAACTGTCCAGGGCACTCCGGTCTCGGAGAGAACATTTAGAGTCCATGTCCAGTGGTGGGTTCAAAAATGTTGTTGAGATATTGGAAAGTGTCCAGCAGAGTGCTGAGGGGCCCTAGAGCACCTGACCAGAGAGCAGGGGTTGAGGGGGCTGGGCTCATTTCATTTGGAGACAAGGAGAAAACTGTAGAAGAGGAGGTGGAGTAATTTCCCTAGTTGCCTGGGAGAGCATTACAAAGATAAGGGATCCAAACTCCCAAAAAAATGGATCCTGGTATTGGCAAATGCCAGAACAATCAGCAGTGCCCATGAGTTGCCCTTTGAGAAGTACAGATTGGATGTCAGGAAAATCTTATTGCACCATGGGAACAGGCTGCCAATGTGGCTTGTACACATCTGTCCATAGAGGTTTTCAGCCATGGCTAGAAGAGGCCACACCTGACTTCATTTATACTGCGTCTAGTCCTGCTTCAGGTAGGAGATTGGACATGATAACATTCAGAAGTCCCTTCTAACGAACATTTCTATGAGAACAAAAGCGTAAGAAAGTGCAATACATGTGTGATATGCTCCCAATTTTTGTAAATAGTGTCTGGTATGATTCATGCTATTTTCTACCAGCCTTGGTAGAAATTCTTCTTCAAGCATTCTGTAACCACATCAGAAAATGGTGTCTTCCCCAGTCAGAGTGAGGAAGCATGCCAAGATCAAAAGACTAGAATACTTTTCAGCTTTTCCTCTAGGGATCTTGCTTTAAAAGACCATTCCTTTCAAACAGATATTCAGCCTATATGGCAGCATATGTGGTAACTAACCAGCTTGGATATACAGTGGAGAAAGGAAGAGAGCTTTGAAAGGTTTCTATTCTGTGATTATGAGTGACCTCTAAGGAACAGACCTCAATGAAACTTGGCCTCTCCCTTTCTGTTTGATGACTTTCCTACTGAGAGATAAATCTATAGTCGTTAACAAGACTGTCATGACTGCTTGCAAAGATAAGATGCTCTGTTCACTGAACCAGGCTTTTCTTTCTTTTAATTCACAGAGGCTATTTTGTTAACGGGAATTTGGCAGCATAATAAATTAACTGCAGCATTTCTCTTTCCAACTGCTAAGGGGTTGTGATATGTGTTTCAAATCAGGTTCCCTGAGCTGTAAAGTAGTCTCACTGAACAGGCCGCATTCAACATAGGCAAAACCTAAGCAGACGGTATCAAAGAACATGGTTATGACTTATTTCCAGCATAATAATCAATACTTGACAAGCTATTAAAAACTCATTAAAATGACTGTGGTAAGAGCCACCTAACAATAACATGTAATCCATTTGCAAGTGCAATTTTAGGGTAAAAAAAGAGCAAATTGCAAATGAAAATATTTGACAAATGGATGCATACGGATGTCTTATTTCAAACATTCTCAGTCATGGCAAAACCAGAGGAATGCAGCCTGAATCCACTTCTCAGTGCTCAAGTAGAAAAGGGTCATCAGAGCAAGGCTCTTTCCATTTTGAGAAAAGCAGCAAATTATAGGACCAACAACATTCTTAAATAAAAGGAAACTCTAAAACATATTTTTCACAATGGAGTAGGTAATATCAGAAGTATACCTAATAAGTAGAAGCCCATGCCAATTTCTGACAAGTGAATTACCTTCCTCTGTCCAGCTAGTAATGGCATCTATCTTTGTCCTTTTCAGTTGACTCCTGCAGCTCAGTCACAGATTTAAAAATGCACCTTCTGACACCCATAGTAGCTCCTGACTTTTTGTTGTTATTTTCAGCATTCTCTTGGTACCCACCCCCCTTCTTTTATTTAGCAGTCATCACTCTATATCTAGCATAGCACAGCTTCTCCTCTTTAAAAGGCCTAGATCACCTCTTCTCTGCAGGCACCTCTACTGCTTATTTCCACTTGCTGCCTCACTAGCTGTGATGTTTCCTTGCTCCAGAGCCCACAACCTCTCTGACTGCATTCCCCTCTGCTGAAACTGACTTCACCTATGCTACACCGCTTTCCTCCTAGCCAAGCCTCACAACTGGTCATCTTCCCCCACCTTCTTTGTGTCTCTCAGTGTTTTGAAGACCACTGACATCTTAGCTTCTCTGGCCTTGCCCACTCCTCATTCTCCTCTTGCTGCTCTTCCAGTGCATCTTCCAAAGGGTTCTTTTCCACTGACAGGAAGATAGCTTCTGTTAAAAGCAGTCATTGGGGTTTACATATTATTTTAAACATGGATGTTTGCTGAATTCCTAATTTCCCATTTTCTTTTAATGTTGTAGAGTTGTTTCTAACTGGCTAATCTAGATTGTCTGCTGTTATGAATGTCAGAAGGGAAAACCAGAGACTGTGACAACAGTGGTAATTTTGCTACCAATAAAATGCATGTTTTGCCTCAGTCACCAATTTTATCTTTTGTAATTTACTTTCTGCCTCAGAAAAAAGCTCAGCCAGTAGCTTTCATCCAGTCTTCACTGTTTGCTCTTTAATATTCTCTGCATCATGAGTAGCATCTCTGAAGTTATTAATTTCTCTACCTGCTTCCTGGTCATGATCAGAAACTACGCACTTATTTGAACTCAATGCAGATAAGGACAGAAACTCATCCCTCCTAGGAACTCTTTTCTTTTCTGTTCTCTGCTACATAGATAGGAGCAGCGATATGGACAGACATCCCCTGTGGTACAGTAGGAGAGTGCTAGGAAGGAGATTCTGTTGTACATGTATTTTCAGAGCCACATATCATTCTGGCATACAAGCCAGTGTCCCAGTCCTGGTGATTTTTGGAATGTACTAGATGCTGTAGGCAAGACCTCTCTAATGTCCCTCGGTAAGTGATATAGGACAGCATGGTCCAGCTGGCAGACACCAGGCTGAATTCTGAATGCAGACAAGCTCTGTCTGCAGCTAGTACATGGAGGGGATGGCACATGCACTGGACCAGGAAGCCCCTTGATGACAGAAGGATCAGTAATTTTTTTGAGATGCAGCCATGTGGACTGTTCTTTGTGAGCACCTTGTTACTACTACGGAAACAGTGATGACTGTCCAGAAACTGTTCTCCCTTTCAAAAAATTAACCTCTTGCAGGTGAGAACAAGGATATGGAAAAGCTTTATATGGCTTCTTGAAGCAGGGCTGGATTTAAAGTGGCCTGGACCTTCATTAAGGATCTGGGACGATCCCAGATAATTTAGTACTTGTTCTTCACTCCGACACTTCCATGGGAATGGGATGCAGAGAGATTGTTTCTTTTTCCTGCTAGAACCAGAAGGGATCATCTCACCTGCAACAGGGAATATGAAGCTTCAGTTCAAGGTATGTGGTTCTCTTTGTGCCACATCTGCTTATTCTCCCAGTACGTGCCCTCAGGCTGGGACTCAGCCACTGGCCTAAATCTCTGAGTGCAGCAGAGAGGAGGAGGTGTAACAGGGTTGTGGCAGTGGAGCCATGCTAACCTCCAAAACAAATATAGGTCTGCAGACCTGTAGGGACTAGTAAGTATAGAATGAGGAGACATCAGCAAGCAAAGGGTAAAATAAGT